ATATTATTCATGACAGAATTGAAACCATGGGTAGCATAAAGAAAAGCATTCTTATCTAATGCAAACCAAAATACTTAAATATTCAAAATCACAATCCCTGTTATGCCACATCACATTGATTAATAATATGATTATCAGATTCATAAGAATTTAAACATTTAAAATTTATTTGTTTTTATTATTTTAATTTGCAACTAAGTATCAAAATAAACCAAAACATTAAAATTCAGAAAATTGGGAAAAAAAGAGTTGTAAGCATAGGTTCCTATTCAAGAAAAATCTCTAGATTCTCTAAGATAAGTTGTAAATATTGGGTTATCGATGACTTTGAATGAGAATGTCATTTACTTTGTTTGCAAATTAATCAAATCTAAGAATACAGTAAGAATTTCTTATTGCATTGAATTGAAAATGACTAGAAAACCAAGGATATAATATATCTTGCATCTTTATCGTAGTGTATGGAAGCCAAGTATGGCTTGGCAATACAAATGACATCAAGGCGCTTTCAAGTTCGAATTGCTTGGGATTACCTGCGAGAATTAGGAGCTGAAGCGTTATAAAATTGGTCGATTGATTCGGTTGCCAGAAATGATGTAGCTGTACATCTGTCTATTTAACTTCAACCTACGATTCTACGGATACACAGCTTACTCCAATCCTGAATGTTATTATAGAGAAAGTGAATCTAAAATTAACGCGGAGGAGACACCGTCTCGTCCCGTCGATTTAGTCCTTACGGGGACGGAAAACTCGAGTGTTCGGGCCCACACGAGGAAGAGTAGAAACGTCGGACAGTAGCCGGTAAAAACTGGAAGAAAGGTAAAAACAGATTTGATTCTCGCATTTTCCTCCCGATATTGTAGGCCACGTGGCGTCCTGTCTTCCCCTAACTTTTAGGAGGCCTCCGACCGCAGGTCGTGAAGTGCCCTGCCCGGTCGCTAGCCTGGCGCCGCCGGTTTTCGGTCGGCCCTGACCTCTCTGGAATCTACTGGCACTCGGGCCTGCGAGCGCGGCCCCCAGATTTGGCGGATTTGACCCGGAACCTCCAAATGTGGCAGTCTGGAGGGGGGTCGTTCGATTTCATCGATCTGTACAGAGCGACGCGAGCCCGAGACACAATCATTTTGCCACCTTCGCCATTTTGACTCTGGGACTTAGCAGTATTCTATTGCTCGTGAAGTTTGCGGGCTTTATATCTATCCCCTTCCCGTGTTGTTGGAAGGCTTACATAAGCGCACGATTTGACCACGAACTGCACCTCGTCTTGGGCCCTCGGGCCCTTCCCTACCTACTGTGGCACAGTGCGCGCAGCTTAAACTCAGCCCCTCATGCCCAAGTCCAAGTCCGCAACAAACTTTAACGTTTTGTGCATTTGCCACGGTGTTTGAACTCCGGCCTCGGACCCTGTTGCTGTGCTCGTTTGTCGTGTTGAGGACTTCCGGCTCTGGAGTCTGGAGTCCGGACCCAGCAGCGCCCAGTAGTCCCACGTAAGGGAAAATGATTGCCACCGTGCCCTCGACCATCCGATGAACCTCGCCTCGGGTGCCACTCTTTCAGGTTTCCTTATGTTTTGATGCACCAGTTTTAAACAGCACCTTCGAATGAGTGGTTGATTGTCAGAATCATGCCTCTATTCCACTCCACGGTGTAAAGATCTCCACGGAATCTCGCTCACGCATTCGAAAAAGTGCCGCAGCTCAGGACATGTTAAATGTTCACGTCTTGGCGTCTGGCCCGGGCAAGTGTGCAAATATATCTCTAGGCAAGCGAACGAGCCCCGTTCGGAATTTTGACGCGAGTGGACGAAGAAAAGAGGAAGATGAAAAACCATCACATCATCATTCGTACTGGTCCGATCGGTTGGGAAACAAACTTCTCGCTCGTAAGTGGGAGATATGCCTTTGCGAACAAGAATAACTCGCAGAATGATAAGTGTGCTGCTGGCTCGGCCATGTCTCGTGTTGAGACACGGTGGGGGTGAACATGTGGTACTACGTTCGGATGGAGTCTTGTTCCGCCCTGATATCGGATAGCCTATGCTGGAATGTGAAAAGGCTGTACCACAAAGGACAGGAGGGGGAGTGGGGGAAGAGAGAGAGAGAGAGAGAGAGAGAGAGGAAAACAACCTCGGAAGAGTGGGGAAATTATGTAAGGCATCTATCTAGGAGTCGATTTGAAGGGAGGTCTGCATGCAATGCGATGAAGGAAGGACAAAGAAAAGGACTAGGATAAGATGGCAAACCCCTCCTCTCTCTCTCTCTCTCTCTCTCTCTCTCTAATGCGCCACGATATTCTTTATCATGGCAGGAAGAAGTCGAAAGGGGCGAGTGTACAGGATAGTACACATTTCCAAAATACAACCATGTCAAGAATAAGGAATAACACGAGACCATTTGAATACCTGGGCTCTCACGAGAGAGCCCAGGTATTCAAATAGTCAAGTCCTCCTCGCAACGTCGGAGTTCATTTCCGCTCAGAGCCTTGGACATGTTCCGTCTCGCTTCACTCAGTGCGCATGGTGCGCTGGGTATGTCAGGTACCCTCCCAAGCATGCAATAAGCGTAAAAGTAGAAAAACTTCCAATCTGAGTCGGGCGACTCGGGCCGACTGAGGCGCATGGGGAGATTTTGACTGATGCGAGAGATCGATAGACTTCGCTGTCTTGGGGCAGCTTTCAGATTTTGAATGCAGTTGTAAGGGGGGTGTGAGCTTGTGGGCTAAGGAACTATGTACCAGGAGGGTACATGCAGGAGAATAGTCGTACGGGCGGAAAAGGGATCAATGATAGCAACAACAAAAGATAGTCAAGTACCCAGTCTCGGGTCAATTATCCTGGTGAAATTCTGGCTCGTCGTCACTTTTGGGCCCTCGTACAAACTTTCATGGCCATCATTTACTCCCTTACCATTTCCAACGATCGGGTACAACAAGCTAACAGGAGATTTCTAATTTCACTTTTCTTTTCTCCGGGGCCCGAGTTCTGCGTCGCTTAAAAAGAAAGAATGGAAAATCCGGTAAAAAGAAAAATTTATGATTACAGGGCATCGCGCTGAACAAAAGAATATACATGTATATATTTGTATATATAAATTGTGGAGAAAAATCGGGTGGGAGGCAACGGACTGACGGGGCTGGCTTTTATAAAGGATACAGAAGGCATTATTATTTTCTTGTGTGTTGGCCCTAGCGAAAGGGCATCTCATCGATTGTGGGAAATATTTGTAGGAGGTGATGACAGTGTTCGCAGAAGTTGTACTCGATCCACAGGATTCAAGATCCTCAAATGGTGACTACAACCATGGTGGCGACGGATAGTCAAGAGGAGCGATTGAGAAAAGGAAGGCACCTGGAGCTCTGGAGGAGTAGAGCCTAACGATATACATGGCGAGCGATAAAAAAACCACGGCTGCTTTTTGACGGGTGGAAAGAAAGTCTAGTCTTTGTTTATCATTCGATCATAGCTGGGTTTCTAGGGTGGGGGCCTCATTTTTGGAAGTTTTTGAAAGATTCTACCTTTCGTGCAAGCAGAAGAAAGGACATATGATACATCTTTGCAAGGATTAGTTGTGGCATGTGCAAGCACGGTTTAGGTGATGATCTCAGAGAAATAATTATCGACGCTCCGGACTTATTTAATAACGCGACCGAATGGATCGCAGGTCATAGAATATCATTTTTCCCGCAGCTACACTTGTGCTCTCGCACACGAGCAGAAGGTCTTTCTGAACCGTGTGAGGCACTGAATATGCAGATTACTATCCAAGTTGCTTACATACATGTGGATGATCGATCATCCGGCACGACCATCTGTTTTGATGCACCTCCCCGCCTCTCTCCCTCCCTCCCTCCCTCCCTCCTGCTGGTAAATAGGAAGACGATCACTTCCTTTGCCATGCACAGCAGTAAAAAACAATTCCTCCATTTACCAACTGCGCCAAGTTTTATGATTTCAGAAAACAATCTGGCCCGAGATCCGGGGCTCTGGGCTCTGGACTCTGGAAGGAGGCCGCTCGCTCACTTGCAGAGGGTTGCTCATATCATGTCATACACCTACTGAGCTATCGTAGAGGGTGTGGCGGGGCACGTACGATCAGCGAGAGAATGATGATTATATTAGCGTCTAATTGCATGTTTTGATCCATAATGCCATGTGAGTACATGAGGTGTACTGGCGATAATAAACATCATAAGTTGTCACTCGCTCGTCCCAGGAAGGAAAACATTGATCGTACTCGGGGTTGAATACTCTCTGCGGGGCTGTATAGGCCAACATGAACTGGATCATCAAGAAGCAGCAGCGGCATTCAAATACGGCATCAATGACATGATCAGACAGGCCGAATATAATATACAGGCCCGACGGGCAAAAATCCCTCCTTGTAGGACAGGTCTTCCAGGACTTTATTACTACGTGCAATCATCTCTCTGGTCATAATCTGCAGATAATCCCGGATGAAATCCGTGTATTATCGACCCGTCCTTGCCCGAGGGTCGGTGCTGGAACTCGGGGCGAAATCGAGGCGCTCCAACCCGGCGGGGGACCGGTCGCGCAGGACTTTGCCGGCTGACCGATGGCCGGTCCCAGGCGTTTACGCTGGGTTAAAAAGGACTTTAGGGTTTTGTTCGATTTGCTTAGATTTTAGGGTTATGGAGTTGTTGGAGGAAAATCACGTCCCCGCAGGATGGTCCCAGGCACGTTCGCTCCGTCTCTATCTCTCTGATCTCTCTGTCTCTCAGGTGCTTGCGCTTTTCTGCGTCCGGGCCGCAGGGCAGTCCCGGCCTAGGACGGACGGGAGCGGACGGCGAGGGCAGGACGGAGGCCATGGACGGAGCGCGAGGCTCGGGGGAGGCGGTCGCAGAACGACGACACGGAGTGTACTGTGCTGCGCATGGCGGACAGGGGGAGCAAGGGGAGGAAGGGGAGGTGGTGTTTTTATAATAGCAGAGGAGGGAGCAGCGAGCACTATAGCGGGGAGTAAAATTAGAGGTGGAAGGGAATTGGGGAGGGAGGGAGGGGAGGAAGGGAATCCTCGGAGGGCGAGGGGCATCTTCGGCAGCAGCAGCAGAGGAGAGAGGAGTGAGCGAGAGAGATGGAGATGGGGAGGGGGAGGGAGAGCTACAGAGGATTTGAGCGAGAGAGCGTGGGTGGGATCCCTTGGGCGTCGCCTCCACTGACTGACTGACCGACTTACTCGCTCGCTCGCTCGCTCCCTCCATAGATACAGCATACATACAGGAGCGCGGGGGGGTTTGATTCACCACCGGTGATCCGCCCATTGGTGTCAGAGAGGAAGAATTTTTTTCTGGCACTTTCGTCGTCTGTAGTTTTAATAGTTTTTTTTGGCAAGTTTGCCTCATCGGCGCCCCCTCTTCTATCTCTCGCATCGCGCTCCTGCTGCCTTCCTTCTCTCTTTCTCTCTCTCTCTGTCTCTCTCTCTCACTCACTCAGAGCCTGCGTCGTCCTCCGCGAAGGCGTCGGTTTCATATTTTTACTAGGACTACTCGTCGCTCCATTTGACGCGGAATCTGTGTCGCTCATTCCCTCCCGTCCTCTTCCCTTCCTTCCACTTATTCGCACCAGACGCTTTGGCACAGGTCTCGGACTTACTCTTGCTCTTCTCTATGCGAGCAGAAGAAGGGCGAAGGAAGGCTAGCGTAGCGTAGCGCGGCTCGCAGGGCTGGGCTGGGCTGGGCTGGGCTGGTGGGCTTGCCCCCCCCTCCTCCCCTCGCTGCGGTGTTCAGTTTTATCGCCCGAGGGCGTACATCGCTGGTATCATACCTCTACGTTTATTCCGCGGTCTTCATCATTTGAGCAGCTGCATCTTTTTATTTCTATCTTGTTTGAGTGAGCGAGTAGCGAGCGCCAGGGCGAGTGTCAATAGGGAGCGGAGCGAGAGATTGAACCGTAGAGTGCGGGGAAGAGGGAGAGACCAAAGAGAGAGGGAGAGCGAGAGTGAGAGAGAGAGGCGAGAACGGAGCAGAGAAAAGCATCTGAGTGAGTATCTGGGATTCTCGTCGTTGGTTGATGAGTGAGCACTGGACAGGGTTCATGTTTGCCGAGAGATTTCGAGTCGTTGTGTTAATCAGGAGGAATCTTGACAGTTTGTTGAAGCAAGTGAGAGAAGTTCACATACGACCGGGGCTTGTTTCGGGCTGGCTGTTGCAGAGTCCGTCGCATTTCCGAGCAAGGTCGGACGAGAGATCTGTGACATGAGACTTCAGTTCTGCGCACTGCACTCGGAAGAGGACATGGACCCTCTGACGGGCAATAGTTCTAAGTAATGTGATTCTTGCGAACGCGGTAATCCGCGAAAGGAAGTTCGGTTGGACCTTCTTGTGTAGGAGATCAGGGTGTCAGAAACTGGGCCGTGTTCGAAAGAGGTAGCGGCTTTCGGATAAAGAAGGAAGCTAACTTGGTAAGCCAGTCCAACGGTTCGAAGATCTCAAGCACGCCACTTTGCACATAGTGATGATTCCGAACACCGTGTCTATAATTTAGAAGAAAGGGGAGAGGAGCTCGCACTGAATGAGCTATGGAAGGAGGTCCCAGCGAGCGAGCTCAGTCGAACGCACACTTTCCCCTCGTCCTAGAGCTTTTCCGCCCCACTGTCTGAACTCAATGCGATACTCTCCTCCGCAGCAAATCTCCGGATGAAGCGTTGGTCGATGTCGGAGCCAGGAATTCTCGTAGATGGATTACCACAAGTAGCACTAGAGCACACTCGAGCGGGTCTCTCAAGTGGCCGCTGGGTCGGATATTTCCCCCGAAGGCATGGAAACGTTGATCATCGCCGATTAACCAGAGGGGTGAGGGAGCCAGGGCCGCGCTGATTCTCCTCCAATATCAAGGGATAGTGGGCCGAAACTCGGGTGCAAGCGGAGACATAAGGAGATTAGAGGTGATTGATTGAGCCGTAGGTCGGTCGCTCTCGCAGTCGGGACTAGGGAAGGGGCCCGTAGGGAAGGGACGTAGCCAGATTTCGTGCTGAAATGTGTCTGGCCTCGATAGCCTCGAGTGACTGTACTCGGTCAGGAGGGAGGCGAGGCGTTGGGCACCTCACGAAGCACCTCTTATTTTCCAGATCAATTCGACAGTTTCCATGAGTATCTAGCTAGCGTCGTGGGGTTTCGTAACCGGCCAGTAGCCTTCTGTTCTAGGTCTCGAAGCTGATGACTTCAATTGTTCAAATCTTATTTGGGATCTATTCCTCATCTGGGGGTTTGAAAAAAGTAGCCGTTTTCTCCAAAATTCTTCTTTGAAGAAAGAATATTTGCGGGGTGAACTGTTGCCGCTGGCCAGCAACCTCGAGGGCCTTCAGAATCCTACTAGTGGAACCTTCGTTTCTTTGAGGCTCACTGAACGTCGTCGGATGTCACCCCGCTGTATCCCGCAGCGCATCGGGGCCACTGCCTGTCAGCAGAGGTCCTGCCGATTTTTGCCTCCATCTCCTCCCTAGCCCTGCAGGCCTCTGAGAAGTGCTCCTGAATTGATGCTGGCGGTGCCTGAACTCATCGCTGCCATGCAATTAGATCCGAACGGGTTGCTAGAGCTTCTGCCGATGGCCTCTGCTCTGTTCCATGCGCGAAATTTAAGCTCGTATCGGGAGCACTTACACATAAAGGCGCTTTCGTGGCCGTCTTTCTGTTCAATTGAGCGGATTTATTTCCTGTTCGAACCAGCGATGGGCAAACCCCATTTCAATCCGAAAGATGGAGTTATGGAGTAATATTTGAACAACTCCTGTAGGTTAGTTCTTGGACATGGTGTTTTAGTGTTACCTTCTTCTGGGACTGGATGAAGGCTTGTCTGCGTGGCATCTACAAACCGCGAGATTGGGCGACTAAGTAGTGTCTTCAAATCATATGCAACGCGATTAGTCCGTTGGTTGCTCTATCTGACCATCCGTTTCAGGTCCATGATTTTGCCTTTTATTACTTGGGGATGATCTGGAGCACTCTCATGTGCTTCTCTTTCTAGCGACTTGGACAAGTCTAAACCATTCGAACTTCACCATGCATATACGAGGATGCCTGTCATGGTTTTATTTCTAAATCAACAGGTACCTCGTATCTTGGGTCAATCCCGCGCTAGTATAACGAGAGATATGAGAACGTGGACAACTGTTGGGGACAGTCACTTGCACCTTATACTGGATGAAAATATTCATGGGATATACCATAATTTGAAAACGGGTTCTACTGAATTGCCAGTGCAGGGAAATGTCGATGCTTATTCGCTATGTGTTCGTCAAAGTCTGACATCTAGCCTTTGAGTAAAAAATCTTCATTTAAGGAAATGGATGGACGTATGTGGTGAAGTGAGTCGTGCTTAATCGAATTTTCACTCCCGGGGTTCTTTCTGTAGACGGAGGATGTACCAAATGAAGAAGTATTCAAATACGTCGCTAGTACCTCATCGAGGTCAACCATCTTCCCAGCAGGAGAGATCTATGTACGGCGGCAGCCTTCCTGGGGATGCAGGAGTAGTAACTTCTGCCGATCCCAAACCACGTTTGCGTTGGACCCCGGAACTTCATGAACGCTTTGTAGATGCCGTGACTCAGTTGGGCGGAGCCGACAGTAAGTACTCTCGTTTGTGTTCTGTCTATATCCGAGTAGCATAGATTCCGAGCGTTCTTTTGAAACCGTTTCAACAGAATTTTTGTAGAGATCTTCTTCAGTTCACACGTGAATGTCGAATGTAACACAAATATGTGTATGTGGACAAATTTCGTTGTTACAAATAGTCTTGCGCACGTATGTGTTTTGATGTGACCAAGTATCACTCTTCGGCAGTGAACGTTCATCTTTAGTTACGGACATGTTTTAAGTTGATGAGTTTAACTGTCTAATTATTTTTCGGGTGTAGGGATGAATGTTTAGTTCTGGTAGTTGGATTAGAAACCGCTTTTCACAAGTGTGGCTTTTTTGATATGCAGAAGCAACACCCAAGTCAGTCATGAGGGTTATGGGAGTGAAAGGACTCACTCTTTATCATCTAAAAAGTCATCTCCAGGTATGGTTTTTGAAGTCAACAAACTCTTTTTTTAAGCATCAAAGGTGTCATGCAAACGGCCAATTTCTGTTGACCTGGTATCTCAAGAATGCCCACTGTTCTAGATGTAACTCGGTTTCTTCCACGTTTTAGCATTATTTGTGATTCATGGTGACTGTAAGTAGCACATCTCTTCACTCGTCTTTTGTCCTACGAGAATCAAAACCTATCATTGTGGTAAAAAATAACATACAGTTAAGATGGTGTAACTGTGTGACACAGTAGAAGCAAGCTCACGAAATGGTTTGCCTTCTTTTGTTCCGAAGTTTTAACCCAGTGTTGTCGTTGTCGTTGGTCCCTTTGAAATTTTGTGCAGAAATATAGGCTGGGAAAGCAGCTACACAAAGAGGTCAATGTAGAAACTATCAAAGACCAAGGTATACTCTACCACCCTGTGTGACCAATCAGGAATGGATCATTAGGATGCTAGATTTTTTTTCTAACAGTGATTCAAGTCGTTTATTGAAAAGGAGTATGGTTGGGTCATCTATTAATTACTAGAATGTATACGGAAAGGGATGATTCAAGGAAAATAGGAATACCACATTGTTCCAGTGTTTCTCTGTAAGTCTATGTTTTTGTCGAAGCAGACTTAACTCCAAAGTGCTAGACGGAAAAGGAACTCAGTTACAGGGTGACGTAAAGAACATGTGTCAGAAGTTTAGTGACTACTACATGGTATCCATTGCGACTATCTCCTGTGTAGATGGTTTTGACAAAATAATGTCCACTACCTTTACTTTTCAGTGAGAACCGTCTCAAGAGACTTTGTCGTAACAGAGTTTTAGTATATCAAGAGCTTAGTTATTTAACTTGCATCAATACCGTGTATCCTGTTATCTTCCAGAGGGACGGCCAACAGCTGATTTAAAAAAAATTGCGAAACTAGAGTAACAAGTCAATAGGTTCATTACTGACTAGGTCATGTGCCTCGTAGACAAGGATTTCAGGATTATGCTTTTCGGGATTGGGAGTCAAAACTGGAAGTCTTTATGATAGCATAAAAACAATATATATCTCGTTACAGGTTTCTAAGCTAAGTTCTCTTTGTGGACAGGGTCCTCGGAAGGACAAGGGCCGAGCTCTGGGACTGCCACTGATTGTGTTATTACTCAGAATCCAAAGGAGTAAGTCCCTCTATCCACTATCATAGTTCTGGTTTGAGCGATGAATTTCAAGCTACGCTAATCCATTTATCAATTTCTCAAGTAGCCCTTTGAGCTATCCACCCTAAGTTTCAGGATGTTTGTTTCACCCACAGGAGTTTGCAGATTACAGAAGCTTTGCGGTTGCAGATGGAGGTACAAAAAAGATTACATGAGCAACTTGAGGTAATTTCTCTTTTAGTACAGACGCAGTTGTGGATTTCTTCTATGATCATAAGATTAAAGTTAGCATCTACGTGTCAAGCAACATGATTATAGTATGGTTCCTCTCTTCCTGATGGCTCGCCAGAATGTTTAAGGAATTTGATAAAGACTGGACACTGATATCCTTTGTTTCCGAGCCAGGTGCAAAGACATCTTCAACTCCGCATTGAGGCCCAAGGCAAGTATCTGCAGTCTATTTTGGAGAAAGCCCGGGAGACGTTGGCCGGTCACACCGCAGCTTCGCCAGGCCTAGAAGCTGCGCATGCCGAGCTCTCGGATTTGGCATCAAAAGTGACCACCGAAAATCTAAGTCCAGCATTCTCCTTGACTGGAGTACCTTCTATGAGTATGCCATCCTTAACGGTTGCTGAGTTGTCAGTTCGTGGAGGTGAGCAGCAATGCGGTGGGGTGCCGCATCAACTTTCTTCTCCAAACCCCCAATCTCGTCTTTCAGACTGCTCATCGCAGAGCTACCTCACAAGTCTTGCCTGCAGTGGGAACCCCGACGGCAACGAGCCGAGCGATCAAAAGCAAAACACCGGTAAGCAACGGGCTACTACTCGCAGCTCCTACTTTAGTGGTGATGATGATGGACGGCTCAATTCAAATGAGGATGGGGGAGAGACCGAGCTCCAAGAAATTAGTGCTAATTGTTTGTCTCAGGGTGGGAGTCTTACCCGGGCTGAGGATAGGCAAACAAAGTCTACCCCAGTCTCGATGCGGATGGTGTCTCTGGACAAGGGGTTGTTCAATGGGGAAGAGGCGGGCACAGTTCCTTCTGATGGTAGTATGCTGAGGGGGTTTAAAATCTCAGCTGAAGCACAAACCTTTTCAGACTCAAAGCCTCCTGCCCTTCAGAGGCCAACCCCTAGGAGAGGCGCTGCTCTGCTTTCCGACGATTCAAGACTTTGCTCGCTCGTTAAGGCTGGTGCTTTGCTTCCTCTGCAGGGAAACTACCCGGCTGATATGGGTCCATCCCACTTCACCAATACTACTTCCAAGGCGGTGGACAGGCCTCTTGATTTGAATTCCGCCAGAGAGGAGGGAGCCCGAGGCAGAGAGCTTGACTTGAATGTCTTTGGATGGGATAGGTGAGTCAATCCCTTTTTTCTCTGTGCATTGTATATCTATAACTTCCAAAGGGAAGCTTTTCTCTGCAGCCCCTCTGTCTCCTCTTTCTCCTTCCTACCTCCTGTTTCTTTCACTTTCTCTCTTCCTCTCTTTGTAAGATTACAATCCCAGACTGCCGAGATCATTTCCAGATCTTCACAAATGCTCAGCAGAGCATGTCTAAGTTGTACATATGGCTTGTAGGTGTGTAAGATTCAAGGTGATTTAATCCCATCTTTTCAAAATTTATTCAAATGTTCTGTCAAACTATTCTGTGTCTTTCGTATGGATAAATAAAGAAGTACGTTGCCCTCACCCGCCCTCTTCCGATCCGCGGAAGCTCTCTTACTGCCTAACTCTGTACCATCCATACATATCTCATCTCTCCTGGCGGTGTTAGCATTCCACCCATGTACATTACGCAGCAACTGGAAGTGCTCATTTGTAAAAGATTCCACCTTAATAGATGTGTCGCTATTGTTACCGAGCTTCACTTTTCATCTTTGTCACCAAAGAGTACAGTCCGGACACCTGCTTGGTGGCTTCAAATTGACGGTCACTTGTTGTAGGTGTGTATCGTGTACTCCCATTGCATTTTCTGTATCCCATCATTCACCAGCATTGCAAGTCACAATGAAAGCCCTCTGGCTTTCGCATTATGCAGTGGATTCTCTGCCAAAATAGTGATGAATATTTCAGCCCCCATGGTTTTCTTGAGTGTGCATCCGTAATGTGTAGCATTTGAACTGGCTGGCTCGTTTTGATTCCCACCTTATGGAATTCAATTCAATCCAAACAATTTGTGGTCACTAGCGCAAGATGTACGTGTTATAAGTCCGTGGATCCACATGCTGACATATTCTCCTGCAAGGTTGTATGCCATGAATGATGAGTGTGTAACCGGCTGTTACTCTTGAATCCCAGTTTGATGTCAAAAGAACTTGCTTGATCAAGTGAATCGTACTGCGTTGTTTTCCCGTCCTTCGCAAAATATATCGTGGATCGCAAAATATCTGTGCATGTCTTGTGAGCGTCATCATGCAAAGGAATCGTGGCCTAATTACATGACTTCGTCTACATCCGAAGTATAATTCATGAAATGTCGAATTTTATGAAAGTCTGTTTTTATTCCCGTCTCTTGCACCACATTACCAAGAAAAATGTCACCGCTCGGTTGATTCTTTCTCCACTTTCTAAGCTGTTCTTCACGTAAATGTTGATGTCATTATTGACTCAACTCTGAGCTCTAAGCGTTCTTGGAGAAATGAGCCTCCCTGTCCATGCAGACCTGTTTATTGGTAATTCCTGCTGCAGATCTTGTTGCGTGATAACAATCTTCGGTGATATGGTAACATTCTCTTAAGATGCGCAATCGGTCAACTTAAATATACATATGGACGCAAAGGTTGGTCTTGTTCTGTACTATCATCGATTGTCTACGTGAAGCTGTGGTTTCTGACGACGTTATTGGCTTCAAAGCAAGGCAATACAGTTAGTCATTAGACCATAAGCCTTCACTACTTTTGCTTCCCCTTTGAAACTTGTACAAGACTTTTAGGTTTGAAAAACCAAGTGTTTGTCTAGACTTTGACAAATATATAGCAAGCACACTAGAAATGAGTTGTATTGTGTTGGTCGGAAAGAACCGTTCTACTGATCGAGCTATCCTGTAGCACAACACATACTCTCGTTTTATTGGCTGTATCTGTCTTAAGGAAGTCGGAAGTCAAGAAACCCACCGAAAGCTGTTGAACGAATGGACTGTAAGAAAGTCACCCGCACATTCGCGCCGTTTATAGTTTGCCACACTTTGTTGTGGTCTTGAAGCATATTCATAGTCACATGGAGCTTTTTAGATCATTCACCTCTTCCATTTCCACACCTTGCGAAGAGTATTTTGCATACTTATGGCTCTGAAATTTGACACAATCAGACTGAGAGCATATTTTTACCCAGATAGATTTGAAGTAGAAGCCGTAATCTGCGTGTCGGGTAGCTTTATTTGACCACGTCGCATGTAGGGAATGGCTGGGGAGGCACACTGTTATTTTTTATGTTTAGGTTCGACCAAAGCGAGACGGGGAGTTATGTCCTTTGTTTTACAGGACGTCATAAAGTGGTTTGTTTTGGACCATATTCTGTCGCATATTTTCTTGAGAATAGTGAGTTCTGCCCATCACAAATGTGAGGACTCATGTCGTCGAAATGCTTCACATTTGAAACCTTAGCATGTCTGAGAAGTGAATCAACATCGCGGTATACTACAGTTATGTAATAATTCGTCTAGAACCAGGGTTGTTAAACAAGTCATATGTTTGGCGATTTTTCAGTATCGGCAAGGCCTCTATTCTAGTTCCTGTTTCTTGAAACTTACATATTATGAATGAGTCTTATCTGTTCTGTTCTTCTATCATAGTAACCTCCCATTGGATGAAATGTACTATCACATCTTTCAATTATAGTCATAGCTCCGCCTTTAGGAGTAGTATTTTGCAGCTATACTCGTCCTTGCTCGATACGTTTCGAGCACACGTACGTACATACACCAATCTGAGAAATATTGATGTACGTAGAAAAGATCGGAGACAGATATCAGTTGTTCGCTACTTTCGGAGAGGTACATTCGTTGATACTGCAGACAACATGCCGAACATTGTTTCTTTAGTATTTTATTTCTCTATATTTTTCTCTTGTTTCCTTTGGGTTTAGTTCTTTTCTCGACTTTTGGTGAAGAGTTGGTTGTCATACGAGTAGTCCAAAATCCAGTATCAGCTGAAATTTATAACTGTATTTATGGAATCAAGGACTCTTCTTACCGGACAACGATTCCTTCTGAGTATGTCTGCTATGTACGTGGTCAGGCTCAATATCCTCGCAGTTACGTGTCAGGTTTGTCAGTGCTGGATGCACTACAAACAACCAGCAGTTAAATGGTATCGAAAGTGTTCAGAGAATCTCTGCACTACTGTATTCTTGCATTGACAACAGTCACGATAGGTTCGTCCAGTAACAAAGAGGTTTCGTATTTTAGCATGGGCTCATGTGTTGTGTATCATGTGGAAAAATGCTCTATATTGATCACATTGGCGGTAGTTTAAAGTAGGAACTAATTAGATTGCCTTATCAGTTGAGGACAAGCGCTCAAAAAACTTCCGCTATCTCTTGGATGAGCATACGCCGTTGTTGAGGACTGCTCAGGTGATTACCATTGGCATCAACATACCGCTACTTCTTGGTCTGAAGTATTACCTTTTAAAGCCAATATCAATTCAATAAGATGCTCATAAGAGTGGGTTTAGAAATGTTTATGAATAAATGTTCTGGGTGAAAGAACGTTATTTTGTGCTATTTCAATGTCTTGTTCTTTACGCACTTGACTCTTTTGAGCACGTTGTAGGCTTGAGATACTGGAAAGCTGTCATCTTGGAGCGGTTCTCTGCATATTCCTGCTAACCTATACATACAAACGGCTCTATGGAACTGCCCGAGTTTGTCAGCGAGTCATGTACTGAAACACTCACGTGTTATACTTCCGGCTTCCCTCCGGAGAAATGAGTTGCCCCGCTTAGTTGTGTTATACCCCCTCCTCTGTCAAACACGGACACCTCTGAATCCTTTGGTCGACGATCCCTGTCGCTGCAAACAGCTCGACACCTGACGTGAGAGGAAATCTCTTGACAAGCAGTAAATATCTGGAACGACTCGTAACACGTTGCAGAACTTAAGTTTATCCTTCACATCAATAGTGGTGACCTCCACCGAAGAACGAAATTAGCTCACACGCGAGACCGTCTTTTGCCTTGGCACGAATCATAATTTGTAGAAGATACACACTCTCCGTCCGCAGTGGATTGGTCGTAGTCGGGATGAAGCGAAGAGTGAGAAATTATAATTAATTTACATTCTGTAAGTGTCTCCCCAAGTAAAAGACCGCAAGAGCACGAAGTAGCAAGTATTGACTCTTCTGTCATTACTGCAGCAAGTAACTAGAAGGCTTGGGAAATGTCTCACCAACAGCAAGTCTCTAACGCAGATTCGTTGTATATTGGGACTGGAACACAGCATATGCTTCTTCTCAGGTGGTAAGTGCACAGAAAAGTCGGAGAGTGTGGGCCGCCAAACGATATGCAGAACTGAACCTGCTTCAACATATGGACTGACTGGGAAGAGTCTACTGGTTGGATTTGATAAGAGGGAATTAATCACCTAAGGAAGCCATCGGCTTCAGCCCTCTTTCTCAAAACAAATCGTGCAACTGCCACTCCTGCAAGTCCTCTGGGCGCACAAATATAGCCCACCGTTGTCTATGGGCGACTGTTACCTGCATAGCACTTGGTTTACGACATGTTAGACCAGCAGGTCTAGTGGTCAGCGTTGTCTGAATGTGTAATGACAACGAAATGTCCGCCAAGTCTGACTAGCTGACTGCATAATTTCTCGAGTCCTCCTGCGGCACCGACTATCAAGCCGACATGAGTTATAAGGTGGGTTTACACGGAGAGTAAATGAGAGCACTGCAGCATGTCCTTAGTGACAACTTGCCACGGTCAAGAAACAGTCAACTCTAGTCACCCAGTTTAGCGAACTGACAGCAATCTGGTCTATTAATGGCTGTCCGAAATTAAGATTACACGCAAAGCCATCATGTGAATTGACCTCCAAGTTGGATACTCGGGATACAAGATCACCGATCTCCTGAGAGTGAAAGCACAGTGATAGATATCTCACCAGAAGAAGAGAACGTCATAGAGCTTCAGGAGAGAGCGAGGTGAACACCATCACATGGCTACCGCAATAGAGACAGGCTAAAATTGTTGTAGACAGTACTTGCTGTGCATGAGGACGGTCAACTGCATGCAGTTCGTGACTCTCTGTTCACTTCCTCACGAGGAACCTAGAGCTATAACGGGAAGCTGGTGAATGTGTGGGTCATCGTGTGGTCTTCGAGACAGCTTCAAGTGCACAAAGTGCATCCTGTACCTTCGAGCAGTGGACATTCTTCGTACTGTACTTATCGAAGTTTTCGTCATTCTAAACACACCAAACATAACGCCACCAAGAAGACCCTGAAGTCATTCAAGGATGAAATCAAGGGTTCGGATGGAGTTAGTTTCCAAAAGCATATGTACTATTAGATCCAAACTACTTACATCACTCAATACACAAACTTTCAAAACACTTGAAGAAAAATACCCTCAAGTGGTTTTTCTCACTCTCGCCCTAGAAGCTAATGTTTTGTGGAGCAAATACAAGAAATATGCTATGCATTACGATAAAGGAAATGATACTCATGTCATTTATTTTGGTCGTCATTGGCAAACATATGGAGATTACTTACAAAGCTCTATATGAGTCAAGACGGTAGGTGTGTGTATAATTGCGATATCATATCTCTGTATTATACAACACTATCAAACCATGCCTTGCATAACTGAATAATAAAAAGTCCGTGGTGGAGTCCATATGAGTCCACACAAGTGTTGCTAGCTTCTACAAGTGTGAGATT